TTGCGCGCAATTTTTTCTGTCTCGACTTTTTTCTCGCCTTTAAGTTTTTTTCCGACTTTTTTCTCGACTTTTTTACCGACATTTTTCTCGACTTTTTTCCCGACTTTTTTCTCGACTTTTTTCCCGACTATTTTCTCGACTTTTTTCTCGACTTTTTTCCCGACTCTTTGTCGACTTTTTTCTCGACTTTTTTCTCGACTTTTTTCCCGACGTTTTTCTCGACTTTTTTCCGACTATTTTCTCGACTTTTTTCTCGACTTTTTTCCCGACTTTTTTTTCCACCACTGATCACATACGCATGCGTCAATGGTTCATTTTTGCACGTGGGGAATAGGAACAACATGTCTGGTCCCGACGAGGGAGAGAAAAATGCTGTTGAAAATCTACATAAACAAAGGAAACTTGTCTAACATCCTTGTTCTGGCAAGGACCCTGGCGAGTTCAACATGAAAGCTCTCTAATAAACAGTTATTCGCTAAAGCTAAGTCATTTTCTGCTTTGATAACATGGCCCTTTTTTTAACTGCTTGAAATTGGACATTGCAGTAACCCATGCACTTGCGAAGGCTGAAAAACACATGAGTGCCGAACGCCTGGAACACTACTACAGCCCCCCTCCGCCCACCCCCCCGATATGCTTACTTAAGTAAACAACTAACAGGGGCGTAGCCAGCCAATAAACCTGTAGGCCCGGGCCTAAAAATTTTTTGTTTGATCACTCTACCTTTGTGTAGATATTATATACGCTATAAACGACAGGTAAAATGAAAATTTGGTCGCAAGTGACAAATTGTCTCTCGCCGTCATCGTAAAGCTAAAATCACTATATAGTTGGTGCCATCCTGTGTTATTGGAGTTTTACAAGACCTAGCACTTTGTAAATCTAGTGTTTCGAACTTTTATTAAGTCAAGATGCTGTATTGCTGGTTTTATACATTTCTCCTTGCGAGTTTGCGATTAACGTTTCCCCCCCCCCCCCTTCCCCTTCCTTACATCATCAACGTCAGTTCATACGAGAGACTGGCAACATGCTATTATACTAAATCATGAATGCTCTGAAGTAAGGTAGAGTACAAGCTGACTGCATCTTCGGCTGTGTCAGGCATATCAAGATTTTGTTCCTGCATTATAATTGATGGTAACTGAGTGAACTCGACACAACAGCCACTTTCTGCATACCTATAGCAACATCTTTGCTCCGCAAGTTCAATATCATCAATGTTCACATCTTGTTTAAGGTCTGCTCCTCCAGTGATGTCTGACACAAAATAAAGCATGTCTGGTCGACCACTTGGAGACTCAGCATTGTTCGTTGGCCTTATCTTATGTAAGTTCCACAATACAGCCACTTTATAAAGCTCTTTGCGAATGAGAGGCTGCAATTGACGGCTATAGCAGAAGAATCATGTTTTTAGAAGTTGGTCCTTCTAACAATGATCCCTCTGTCATAGCCCAATATTTTGTGGACACTATCAGGCAAATCGGTGGAACTGCCAAGATAATACGTGGTGATGGGGGAACAGAGAATGTTTATGTCGCTGCTGTACAGCGCTTCTTTAGACGTGATGGGGACGACAGTTGGGCTGGAGATAAAAGTTTCCGTTGCTAATCAGCGTATAGAGGCTTGGTGGGGTATTCTAAGAAGAGGCTGCTCGGACTGGTGGATCCGTTTTTTCAAAGATATGAGGGACTCCGGTCTTTACTCCGCAAATGATGCAGTCCCTGTACACAAAAACCAAACGGTTTCAACTTGTCATATCCGTCAATATGCCATATGTGATTAGGACCTTTTGTGCTGTACTGCCTTCTCCGGAGTCTCCGACTTGATCTTGCGGACACACCATAAGTATCGAATATCTTCATCAATTCTCTAACTGTCTCTTTGCCAACAACTAGCCCGTGATCAACTACCAGCCTCTGAGTCATTTGCCTATACCCAATAGTGCTACCACTGCCTCGTAGTTCCTCCTCGATAGCTTCGCAAACCTGCCGTGGATCAGTCCTATTAGCTCTTCTTCCAAGACCACGACATCTCAGTATTCGCTTTAGTTGACGAATACTTAAGCAAATGCCGTGCAAAAGAAACAAACACATCAAGATCTCGCTGTAACCCAGACCTAGATGAAAGAAGTGGTCGATTATGTCGTCACGTTCTGCATGTGCTGGGAGAGAGAAGTAGCCTGGCAGAACACATGTAGAGGGAATTACTGTAGACAGCAACATCGTATAACGAAAAATTCTTGCGGCCATTTTGTTTGCGCTTAAATGTCAGCGGATTTACTCCAAAGTCAGGGGGGAAAGTCAGAAAAAAAGTCGGGAAAAAAAAAGTCGGGGAAAAAGTCGAGAAAAAAGTCGGGAAAAAAGTCGAGAAAATAGTCGGGAAAAAAGTCAAGAAAAAAATCGAGAAAAAAGTCGGGAAAAAAGTCGAGAAAAAAGTCGAGAAAAATGTCGGGAAAAAAGTCGGGAAAAAAACTTAAAGGCGAGAAAAAAGTCGAGACAGAAAAAATTGAGCGCAAAATTTGAATGGCACTTACTGGGCTCCGTATGTATGCACTTACCTTCACTTGCATACACTTACATTCACTTGCATGCACTTACTTCATTTGTACGCACTTACCTTCACTTATACGCACTACCTTCACCTGTATGCACTTGCCGTCACTTGTACGCTCCTAGAGGGTAGCAAAGGGTTTATGGGTGGCGCGTGTTTAGGCCCAAATTTAGTGCGTGAGTCGCGCGAAGCGTGAAAGTTCCCAAAATAGGAACGTGATCCGTGAAACCAGTTATGCATGGGAAGTGTGATTTATCGTATAAGATGCGCAGTACTCGGTGAGTAATTCAATATAGGACAGACAAAAACGCCTCGTACGTCACAGTCGGTGTAGGCTGCAAAGAAGGCACCAGTTTTGTAAGGGCGAAGAGAGAAATTTCGAGGACACGCGCGCACCCTCTAGGGGAGAAAAAGAGTAAAACTAACCAAAAAACTGACCTTCGCTTGCGACGCAGGCTTCAGTCGCTAGCGGGTTAAAAGAAGTCGCATCGAGAGCGTTAATGTGTTTTCAGTTTGAACGTCTGGAAACACGTGTTTTCCACATCCGCGACTGCTAGTGAACACCCACATTCTAATGAGAGGAGAAACGGGAGAAGCTGCGACCGTCAAATACAATGCAAATTGAGATCCATGATGGCTGTGTTTCGGTTCTTATTGTTACTCTCCACCTACCTGTTGTATATAAGCCCCCCGTTTATAAGCCCTCCTGAACCCTTTAAACCCTAAGATCAAAATTGAGATTCTCGTTTACTGTCCCTATACTTTTTCAATACAAGTAGTGGGGAGAATTTGTTGAAATATCAGATAGACTCATCTTCCCTGATGATGTACTCAATTCTCATGACAACTCTGTTTTCTAAAGAATTTTTCTGAAAAATTTCATGCTGCTCACTCTTAGGGCTTAAACGGTTTAAGCCCTTACAAAGTTGTATAAGCCCTGGCATTTGAAGGGCTCCTGGCCCAGTCCTCACAATCAGAAGTTTACAGTACCCGTCTCCTCCCATAAATAAAGAAAAATTAAGCCTAAGTGGAGAAAGATTCAATACAAATATCTAGAACTGCGCTAACACAGAGATTCAGAATTAAGTTTACGGCAAACGGCAAACTTGGAATTCAAGTTAAGAAGAACGTCTTTGTAATTTTGCTTTGTCGCGAACCTGGTGAATTCCCCTCGCACAACGGCATACCATAAACTTCCGATTATTAGCCCTATAATAAGAACGAGAAAAGCTGAAAACAAGGTTAAAAGTTTCATGCCTGCGTTTCCACTGCTCAAGGCCGTATACCGCCAGACATATTTGTGTATACTAAAAGATTCTTTCACTTTGTTCTCATTGTATTTCCGTAAATGACTGTTGCATAAAGTACCATTTTGCTCCTTTTCTCTTATTTTATTACCCGAGATGACGTAGTCAGCAAGCGTCATAAATTCGGTAGCGCATTCCTTTCGTATTTTTCTAAGGAGTGAAAAATTGTCTTGTTTTTTTAACTTTCCTATATCCCGTACCCGTCCCGGAAAATTGTGTGGTTTTCATTGGCTAAAACTTCCAATCAAAAGCAAGTCAGGTTCGATTGCACAAGCAGAAAAAAGATACTGCGTCAGACAAGAAGCAAAAAGTAAGCTTACTGCGTAGAGGAGGAGTAGTTCACTGTGCCCCTGTGTCCCTTTTGTGCCCCTTGTGTCCCCTGTGTCCCTTTGTGTCCCCTGTGTCCTCTGTGACCCTTTCTCTCCCCTGTGTCTCTTGTCTTCCTTGTGCCCCCTTGTGTCCACCTTTGTCCCTTTGTGTCTTCTGTGTCCCTTTGTGTCCCATGTATCCCTTGTGTTCCCTATGTCCCCTTGTGTTCCGCGTGTGTTCTTGTGTCCCCTTTGTACGTTTGTGTCCCCTGTATCCCTTTGTGTTCCCTATGTCCCCTTGTGTCCCTTTTGTACCTTTGTGTCCCCTTGTGTCCCCTGTGTCCCTTTGAGTTTCCTGTGTCCCCTGTGTCCGATGTATCCCCAGTACCCCTTTGTGTCCTCTGTGTCCCCTGTGTCTCTTATGTCCCCTTGTCTCCCTTGTGACTCCTGTGTCCCATGTGTCCTCTTGTGTGCCTTGTGTCCTCTTTCTTCCTTGTGTTCCCTCTGTTCCATGACTCTCCTGTATCTTGTATCCCTTGTGTCCCCTATGTCCCTTTGTGTCCCTTGTCTCCTGTGTCCCTTGTGTCACCTGCGTCCCATGTGTCCCCTTGTGTCCCTTGTGTCTCCTGTGTCCCATGGAGACCCTGTGTCCTTTCTGTCCCCTGTATCCCTTGTGTCCCCTGTGTACCTTTGTGTTTCTTTGTTCCAGTTGTGTCACCTGCGTCTTATGTGTCCCCTTGTGTCCCTTCTGTCCCCGGTGTCCATTGTGTCTCCTGTGTCCCTTGTGTCCCATGGAGCCCTTGTGTCCCTTGTGTCCCTTGTGTGCCCTGAGTCTCCTGTGTCCCTTGTGTCCCCTTGCGTCCCTTGTATCCCTTGTGTCTCCTGTGTCCCCTTGTGTCCCCAAGTGACCCTGTGTCCCTTGGCTCTCTTCACTCCCCTGTGTGCATCGTGTCCCTTGGATCCCCTTTGTTTCTTGTGTCCCCTGTGTCCCCTGTGTGCCTTGGGTCAACTTACGTCCCTTGTAACACATGTGTTCCCGGTGTCCTCTTTGTTCCCTGTGTCCCCTATGTCTCTTGTGTCCCCTGTGTTCCTTGTGTCCCATAAGTCCCCTGCATCCCATGTGTCCCCTTGTGTCCCTTGTGTCTCCTTTGTCCCCTGTGTCCCTTGTGTCTCCAGTGTCCCATGGAGCCCCTGTGTCCCTTGTGTGCCATGAGTCTCCTGTGTTGCTTTTGTGCCCTTGTGTCCCTTGTATCCCTTGTGTCCCCTGTGTACCCTTGTGTTCCTTTTGTCCCCTTGTGTCCCATGTGCCCTATTGTGTCCGTTGTAATCCCTGTGTTCCCAATGTCCCCTTGTGTCGTCCATGACCCCTTGTGTCCCCTGTGTACCTTTCTGTTTCTTTGTGTTCCCTGTGTTCCCTTGTGTCCCTTTTGTACCTTTTTGTCCCCTGTGTTCCTTTGTGTCCCTTAAGTCCCTATAGTCCAGTGTGTCAGTTCTGTCCTCTGTGTCCCTTGTGTCCCCTAGGTCAAGTTTTGTCCCCTGTCCCTTGTGACCCTGTGTACCTGGTGTCCCCTTGTCTCCCCTGTGTCCCCTTGTGTTGACTGTGTCTCCAGTCTCCCTTGTTTTCAATTGTGTCCCCTGAGTCCCCTGACTCCCTTGTGTTTTCCCGTGTCCACTGCGTCTCTTGTCTCCTTGTCTCCCCTCTATCCCTTTGTGTCCCCTGTGTTCCCTGTGTCCCCTCTGTCTCCTATGTCCCTTGTGTCCGCTGTGTCCCTTGTGACCCCTGTGTCTCCCTGGGTTCCCTGTGTCCCTTGTGTCCCTTGTCCCCCCCTGTGTCTGTTGTGTCCGCGTTGTCCCATGTGTCCACTTGTGTCCCCTGTGTCCCTTTGAGTTCCCTGTGTTCCTAGTGTCCCTGGTCTTCAATTATGTCGCCTGTGTCCCCTTGTGTCCCCTGTGTCCTCTTGTGTGCCTTGTGTCGCCTGTCTCCCTTGCATCTCCTCTGTCTCTGGGTCCCTTGTTTTCCTTCTGTGCAATGAGTCCCCTGTGTCCCTTTGTGTCCCTTTTGTCCCCGGTGTCCCTCGTGTCACCTGTGTCCCATGTGTCCCCTTGTGTCCCCTTTGTCTCCTGTCTCCCTTGTGTCCCCTGTGTCCTTTCTGTCCCCTGTGTGCCCAGAGTCTCCTGTGTTCCCTTGTGTCTCTTGTATCCCTTGTGTCCCCTTGTGCCCCTTTTGTCCTCTTGTGTCCCATGTGTCCCTTGTGTCCGCACGAGACCCCTGTGTCCCTTTGGTGCCTTCTCTCTCCTGTGTCCCCTATGTCCATCGTGTCCCCTGGGTCACCTTTGTTACTTGTGTCCCCTGTGACCCTTGTGTCTTCTGTGTCCCGTGTGTGCCTTGGGTCAACTTATGTCCATTGCGACCCGTGTGTCCCCTGTATGCCCTGTGTCCCCTATGTCGGTTGTGTCCCGTGTGTCGCCTGTGTCGGCTGCGTCCCTTGTGTCTCCTGTGTCCCATAAGTCTCCCGTGTCCCATAACTTCCCTGTGTTCCTTGTGTCCCATGGAGCCCTTGTGTCCCCTGTGTCCCTTGTGTGCACTGAGTCTCCTGTCTCCCTTGTGTCCCCTAGTATCCCTTGTATCCCTTGTGTACCCTGTGTCCCTTTGTGTCCCTTGTGTTGCTTGTGTCTCCTTGTGTCCCTTTTGTACTTTTGTGTCCCCTGTGTCCCTTGTGTTCCCTGTGTCCCCTGAGTCCCTAGAGTCCCCTGTGCCACTAGTGTCCCCTGAGTCCTTAGAGTCCCCTGTGTCACTTCTGTCCCCCGTGTCCCTTGTGACCCCTGCATATCTGGTGTCCCCTTGTGTCCCATGTGTCCCCTTGAGTTGATTGTGTCTGCTGTCTTCCCTGTCTCCCTTGTGTTCCCTAAGTCCTCTGCCTCCATTTTGTTTTCCTGTGTCCCTTGTGTCCCCTGTGTCTCTTGTCTCCCCTGTGTCCCTGTGACCTCTGTGTCCCTTGTGCCCCTGTGTCTCCTATGTCCTTTGTGTCTGCTGTGTCCCTTGTGTCCCCTGTGTAACTTGTGACTCCTGTATCTCCTTGGGTTCCCTGTGTCCCTTTTGTCTATTGTGTCCCCTGTGTCGGTTGTGTCCCCTTATCTAAACGAACTACCCTTCATTCTAAATAACAATGCTAAAGATTCTATCTTACTACCAGATGGTTCTCACTTAAACTGTCTACTTTATGCCGATGATTTACTTTTAATATCTACCTCGGCAGAAGGTTTGCAACAAAGTCTTGACAGATTATCAAAATATTGTCAGGATTGGCTTCCTAAGATTAATCCGACTAAAAAAGTTATTGTATTTCAGAAGAAAAGTAGAAAATCAGCAATAGATAAACACAATTTTATGGTTAGCAATGAAAACATTGAAATCGTCAATAACTATACCTATCTTGGAGTGAAATTTTCTGCCAATGGAAATTTTACAAATCACAAGGAAAACTTAACAGAAAAAACAAAGAGATCCTTTTTTGCCGCTCGTCGTTATCTAGATTTTCTAAAATTACCAATTCACATCATCAACAAACTGTTCAATACACTATTTTTCGCAATTTTAACATATTGTTCTGAAGTTTCGGGAATCTATGATAAAAGTGATTATAGCCGCTGGGATAAAGACTCGATTGGGAAAACGCATATACATTTTTGTAAGATGTGTTTAGGTTTACACAAACGTTCACCGAATGTTGCATCCAGAAATGAACTTGGTAGACTATCTCTAAATTTACAAATAACAATGAACATTTTCAAATTTTGGATTCACCTTGAAAATCAACCCCCTGACAACATCGCTAAACTCTGCTTAAACATATCGGATAAACTGGCCGAAGAAAATAAATCTGGTCTAATAAATAAAATAAATCTTTTCAGTACACATCTTAATATTCATAAACAGTCAGTTAAATTTAAAAACCCTTCTACTTTCCTATCCAAAGCTGAGAATAATTTGTCAAAACATCTGAAAAACCACCAGCTAAATTTGATAAGAACAAATAAAAAACTAAAATTCTACTCCATCTAAAAATGAAACAAATCACTCTGAATTCATCAATCATATCCGGAATCCTGAACGTAGGCGTGTAGCTTCCAAATTTAGGATAGGAAATCATAGTTTAAAAATAGAAACTGGAAGATTTACAATCCCCAAAACTCCTGAAGACCTTAGAATCTGTGATCATTGCAACCAAAATTCAGTTGAAAATGAACCGCACATATTATTTCACTGTGATCAATACAATGATTTGAGAAAGACTCTTTCTATTAAAATCAACGACCGAAATACATTATTTACACATTACAATATCCATGATAAAGTCTGTTTTCTTTTTAACAATACTGATTCACATATCAGAAGGCTAGCTGCTAATTTCATCTCTCAAGCATTTGAAAGACGAAAGAAACATAGTTCATTCTACCGTTCCATCATGTCTTCATTTCCTTAAATTTAGCTGTTTATTATTGTTATTTTAATCGGTAACACCTGTACAAAATGGTAATACTGAATAAACTTGTTGTTGTTGTTGTTGTGTCCTTTGTTTTCCTTTGTCTCTTGTGTCCCCTGTGTCCCTTGTTTTTCTTTGTATCCCTTGTGTCCCCCATATACCTTGTGTCTCTTGGAAGCCCCTGTCTCCCTTGTATCCTCTGTGTCTTTTGTGTTACCTTGTAGCCCCTGTGTCCCTTGTATCCCTTGTGTCCCATTGGTCTCCTTGTGTCCTTTGTGTCCCTAGTGTCCCGTGTCCCCTTTAAGTAAAGTAAAGTAAAATTTTATTTACACAGGGTAGCCTGTTCAGCTCTAAGGCTGGTCCCCATAGGGGCGCTGTATCTTAAAAAATTTAGTTACAGTCCCCTTGTGACCTGTGTCCCCATGAGTCCCCTGTGTCCCTTGTGACTTTAGTCTCACTTGTGTTCCCGGTGTCCCTTTGAGTCCCCTGTGTTGCTTGTTCCCCTTGTGTTCCCCGTGTTCCCTTCTGTCCGTTGTGTCCCTCATGTCCCCCGTTTTCCTTTTTTTCCTTGTCCCTTGTGTTCCCTGTGTCATTTGTGTTTTCTGTGTCCCTTGTGTCTTCTTATGTTCTGTTTTTTGTGTCCCGTGTACCCCTTTTTCGTTTAAAAAACATGAAGTATTCGGTGGCGTTGCCTTTGTTTCTTATCTGGCGCGAAAACTTGGGGGTTCCATTGCTTCACGTGACAACATGCGGGGTTTTTTTGCACGCTCAGGATGTCAAAGAATGTGATTTTTTTATATGAAAATAAAAAACAACACACAAAGTTCTGCTTTAATTGTTTAAAATTTTTTTATTTGATTAATCAACTAACGGTTCACTGATTTATTTATTTGAACCATTACAAACACAGCAATGATTCTTGTCCATATACAAACATACAAATCGCTCCTTCATAAAATGATTAGTCCTGATCACGAATGCGCACTCGTACTTTCATAAGATAAAAAATAAGCGCCCATTTGTCTTTATAAAAACCCTGCAATCTTCCTTTGAACTTATATTTATTGTTCGATGGTCCATGCAGTCTTAATTCTATCCATAAATGTTTCAATCCAACCTCAATGCACTTAATAGAATTCAATTTCAATATTAACATGAAAACCAAGCGCATACCGGCATTTCTTATATATAAATTGCAATCCCCATTGAGACCCTGTTTACATGGAGTGGGGGACCCCGGTCTAGTGGGGTAGGTTTTTTTTGTTTTGTGTCCCTCAGAGCGTGAAAACAAAAGAAACCAACCCCACTAGACCGGGGTCCCCCCACTCCATGTAAACATGCCCTTATACAC